TTCGCCATGTGTGTAAACGGCCTATTAAGATCTTACTCCCAGCAATCAATTAAGATTATTGTATCTCTTCAATGTTTACAATAATATTACGTAATATAACGTCTTGGAAAATATTTAATGTGATTGATTACCGAGGTACTCCACTGAATAATATTATACCATAAACTTCTAAAATTGTCTACGTTGCGCTGGCTGTGTACATTGTAAAGTCAACAAATAACGATACATTTGTTTGCATATACATAAAAAATGCTCCTACTAGGTTACCAATTTACACGCTTGTATTTCTGGACACTTGTCGAGGCTCGTCATACGTGTAAACGGCCTATTAGAAGCTTTTATATTTTATAAAACACGCTTTTATCTCGAAAAAATAGTGATTTTTCGCCCTTCAATTTCTCAGCTTGTGTGACTCTTGGCTAATCCGTTAGGGGCTTGAATTATAGCCTTTAGTACTGTAATTTTTCTGAAAAAGATTTCGTCGCAAAATAACATTAAGTTGCCGCACAATTTGTGAAAATGTAAACATAGGTGCTTCGGAAAAACCGTGTGCGATCGGTAAGAAAGCATCCAACGACAATTTAAAAAATGGCATTTACTCGTATTTCGTTGAGAGTTGCCCTACAACCTCTGCATAATTATAAGTCTCCCAGGAGCATGACAGAGCCGTGAAAACGCAAACAAATCTAGCGATTTTTTCCCCGAGCGCTTATAGTAGGCAGCAAAGGGAGCATGGCGACGGAGTGAGAGAACTCTCTCTCTCACAGTACACGACGCTTGATTTTCTTTACATTAAAAACGAATTTTGGAGTGAGATCCATGGTCATGCTCCCTCTTCTGCTGCTCCGTTTTCACGGCTCTGTCATGCATTCTCTAGCAATCTTAGGGACAAAAACGTTTTTTCCAAGTTAGCATACTGAGGCATACGGTATTTCATAAAAATTAGTGAATCATCGAGAAACTTAAAACGTTATGAATGTCGAGTATTTGTTACCTCGGACCTTGTGCAGCAATCGCAACTTTTAATTTAATTTTTTTAAATAGAGATTAAAAGCAAGTTTATTATTGCACCTAGAAGGAGATTATTATTTAAGGCGTAAATAAAATTTCGTGTTTGTAATGTTGGCCATTGATAAGTTCCTTCGTCTGACTGAACGTGCCCGTGAAAAAAAATCGTAAATTTCGAGTAGATCCGAAGTGATTTTTCATCCCGTCAAAAAAAAAGGGTAGGAGCAAAAAGTTTTAACCCGGCTTCCAAGATTTGAGAAGCTTCAAGGAATCGTTAAATAAAAGTTTGCACATGCCGATTATTTCTTGCAAACTGTATTTTATCAACGTAACCAAATATTGTAATAAACTAGGGCACGACTAGAATTACTTCTATGTATTTTCAACATAATAGTTTTAGCGTACGAATCGTAAGTTATAGTATCGAAACTTAAATTAACACATTTCAAGTTCAAGAACACGTTACCTATAATTCATTATTTAATAGAAAAAAAATATGTTCATAACATAATATGAAGCCCATTAACCTTGTAATTGCAAAAACTTTTATGTGAGTTTTTTAACAGATTAAATTTTGTTGTTGTATGAAAAGTTAACTCAAATTATGTTTATAATAAGTTCCCTAAATAATTATATTTTTTTAAATAAGTTCTGAGTTTTGAGCATATTATAATCCGACGTCAGGAGCAACTAACCGGATCATCATCAACAGCCTATACTAGTCCACTGCTGGACATAGGCCTCTCCTTAGAAAGGAGGTTTACTAACCGAATATTCTACCTAAATTTCAAGCTATTTTTGGGTGTATGTTACTTAATTAATACAAATATTTATTTTATGATTTTAGAATAAGATTTTGTAGGCTATGAAACATCACCTTAGGTTACCAGAAACGCAGACCAAACTGCAGAGAGCACCTAGTTATTTAAATGTGGAAATGAATAGATTAGGATTACCTATTGTTTATATAGAACAAAGTACGTTTTGTCACGTTTGAAATGATACATTTGTTGAGCCCATTTGTCCAATCAACGGAGATAATATTGATGTCTCCCGGGCGCTCTCGTTTAGCACGAATAGACATCAGCCGTATAGACAACACAGAACTGACGTTATTTATCAATGTAATAATGTGTGTTTCCGAATGCTTTTCTCGAATGTGTCAAAAAAATGTAGGAATTAAAAAGTAGTTTCACATCACACAAACATCTTTTTCATACGAAGATAGAAAAATACTAAAATAATTAATAATTATGTAAAAAAATCAACAATTCTGTTTACTGGTTTTGTGAAGGTGATACTTAAGTAAAAGTATTAAATAAATTATTTAGCTTCCCTTTTTGTTATTTTTCAATTTAACAAGAACTTTATTCATAGAACGTTCTAATGGCGGCGAAATATATTGTTTGAAGGAGTGTTTTTGTGCAATAGATTACTGGACAATATAAAGGTTTAGAATAGTCTGTTATAGGATAACATAATCAGATTAAAGAGTAAACTTAAGAAATACTGATATACTATAAATATTAATGTGATTTTACATTGCAGTACTTTACAGTACTAAGTATAACATTTACAAACAAGAATGTTATTTCTTGTTAGAAATATAAATCGACCCCCGATCGATATCCGTGTGGTGACGGATTAAGAATACAGAGTGTCATCAACCCTATTCATCCCATGGGTGTCGTAAGAGCCGACTAAGGGGGCAAATTGTGCAAATAACAGCACTGCAAAAAGAAAAAAAAACTTGAAAACAAACCCTATACCAACCCGTCTGGCCAGCGTGGTATAGTAGGCCCCCATTGTAGGGAGAGGCCTATGTCCAGCAGTGGACTGTTAAGGGCTGTTGATGAATAAGCTAAACTTTCTAACACGCTTGAGACATTGTCAATACATTATTGACAATAAATATTATGTATCTCATTTTTTTGAAAAAAAAACTGATTCTTTTATTCTAAATAAGATTCAATAATGTGTAAATACATATAATGTGTAGACTTCGTTTTTATTCTAACCTTTTGTTGCACCACCTATCTATCCAAAGGTAGAATCCATGTTGTAAGGTTTGAATTATTTTGCTTATCGGATTGTGATGTAACATAAAATAATTTTCGCATTCCTTAGCTGCACAATTGTTACATATTCTGAATAATAATACATATTCTACAATGAAGTCAGCCGTTTGTTTTGTAAAATATCCGAGAATTTAATAGATTTCTTTATTTTATAAGACCATTGTTTTCTGACCGTACATTGATTGTTTATAAACATTAGCGCTTTACCTGCTCGCGACACTGTTGGCAGTCAGTGTCCTTACGCGTTGCAATCACACTGGTACAGTTCCGGTATTCGAGCTAGCGAATAAGGGGCTTAGGATATTGTGTCTACGGATGATCGTACGATTCTGTGTTACCTTTCTCTTGGTTCTTATCGATGTCAACAGCACTTGATCTCTCAGCGAGTCGGCCAGTCTCAAGTGTTTCTACGATGACGATGAGTCACAAGGTCATTGAACAACATCATTTACCTCAAGTTTATCTTGTTCTATGCCGTATTAACTCCATCTATTTGTACGTAACATTTTTATAAAATAATGTCTAAACTTTTTGTAGATTTAATTTTACTGTAAAATAATACGAATATATAATTTACAGTGTTTTGGTTTACTCGCAACTTACTATCTTATCGTAGCGATAAATTACTTCGAGCTCGATATACAATCGATATTATAACTAGATACATTTATATACAACTGTTTTCAACAGTTATTCTCGCGAGCGCGGACGGACCGCTACGTTCGGTCTTAGTACGCGTTTTATAATTCATAATTATTTGATGAACGTCAGTAAAAACTCGTGTCTCGGCTTTTTCTGTATTTGAACTGTGTTGAGTGTCTAGAGTCGTGCATCGTATTACCAGAGAAGTGTGTGGAATGTGTTAATAATTATACCTGCCATATATATTGTGATTTTGAATGTGATTCGCTTGTGTTGCTTTTGTTTATTCATATGTTATTATAGCCTTTGAACCGGATCATGTGCATGGGTTGAATCCAGTGAATCTGTCGTTGTAATTCGAGCAATGTTTTCTAGACCGGTTTAAAGCGTCCTCTTATGCTCAACTGAACAATTTCCACTGGCGCCGTACTGCATGGCGTTGTGATCATTTATGTCATTGTGTTATTAGAACATGGCAATTTTTAGACTATTTTCTCTCGATTTATTCTCAATTCAATGTCGTAATAGGGATTTCAATGTTTTGCTATCATCTGAAATGTTTCAATATGTGATAATTTAGTAATAGATTATTATTTTGACGTTAAGCATATCTATCATGGACGATGTTTCTCTTTGGATTAAGTGAAACTCAAATTGACTTACCCGTAATAATATAATCCTCTTTCTTTCTATAAAATTTAGCACATTTGAAGAAACCATCTTTGCAATAGTCATTGATTAGTCTAAATAAGAAATGCAATTGATTCCTATAGAATCAATTGCATTTCTAATTAGTCTAATTACGAGTATACACGTTTAATTTGTTAAGATCTTAGTAATATTTCAATTCAAACTCATTTTAGTTTATAATATTTCACGGACAAAACTCATTATTAAATTAATTGTTATTTTCTTTAAAACTTTAAGTACATGTGATAATGTTGTATATTCTTTGTTGTAATCAGAACGATTTCAGTATTGATATATAGGTATTAATAGCTTATCTATTTTATTCGTCCGTATTTTGCAGAAACTGTCAAGTTTAACAAAAATCTTAATGTTATATTTATGTTTCGTTATATTACTTAATATATATTTCTTTGGTTAACATAAATCGTTAAATTATGTACTTTTTTTGTTTTGTTAGTGACCAAATATAGATTCCATTCGACGATGTAGTGCCGCCAAAACTTGCAAAATGACTAAAAATGTTCATGAACGAAATGTGTCTATACTCTAAAGTGGATAGTGAGTGAAGTAAATTTTTAAAGTATGGTGGATAACGCATCCTTCGAGTATTCCGAAGAATCTAGCGGAGAAAGCGGTTACAATAATGGACGTATCAACGGGTGAGACTTAGACATTTTTAGACTATTTGTTAAAGTTTTTTGTAGCGATAATAGATGCTCCTAATTATAAAATTACGTTCATTACATTAAATATATATAAATATAACGTATCCACCGTAACATTACGTAACTATAAAATTATACTATTTTCATTGACTTTATATAAAAAAATAATGATAGAAGTATTTACGATATGGTATGGTACGATAAGCATACCTATATTGCTCGAATTTAATTACCTCTTTCATATTTATTGCTTATTTAGGGCAAAAGTTAGACGTATTCAATAGCTCATTTATAGCATAAACATAACATAACAACAAACACTTTTTACTTAACACACTAAAGTAAGAATCAGCGATTTGGCCAATAAAGGACTTCGTTGTTCTCAATATAGTTCGCGTGTCCATAAATTACCATAAGACTATATAAACGTGGTTTTGACATACATAGCTGCCGACTTTTCGAAACTAGAAATATAGTCTTCCCAACATGAATAATAATATGCTTTATTTCCTACAATTACTCATTTATCTACAAACAGATATTTGAGAAACGAGAATTCAAAAGACACAATTACAAAATGAATGATTAAAGTTATTGTTAATTCAAGAACGACTGCAGAAGTTCTGACGGTATGAATTGAAAAGCAAACATCAATGCAAAGCTATCTGTTCCCTGTTATCCGCGCTTTATTAAAATTCAATAACTTGCGTAAATACATGCGTCATTTAATGTATAATGTATTTAGCACAACGGGAGAACTTACCATATAAGTCCTATTGCCTTAAGCATTAAGAATTGATTCGGTATGGCAAGGTTCACGTGTTTTTTAAGACGAGCTCCCGAATCCCGTATTATTGGATGCATTATAACCTGGGACAAACACAATTCTCGGTCAGTTCCAAGTGTGACTTTTACGTAGCCTCGTTCGGTGCTCGCGTTCGTGTTTTTACTCCTTCTAAAATGGGCGTGTTCTTCTTGAAGTAAGATTTTAATTTTTTCCTTGTTATTCTTATCTATTTTTGTCTCTAATATTTTTTCTTAGGTTTTTGCTATAAATATAGTTAGAATGCTCCTCTAACCAAAGTTTTTTTTTTTAACAAAAACACATACATTTAGGTTACATAAAAAAATAAGACTACGGAAATAATATTTAATAACGCCAAATTAAGTACAAATTTTCTAATACAACATAATTTTCTTTGGTTAGTTAGGTACACAGTATAGTTGTGCTCTGTTACCCACGGTAAGATTAAAATGATTTACAAGTACATATGTATGTATTGGGAAAAAAAAAAATATGAACTGAATGTAAAATAGTAGTTACACATTTCTTACTAAGGAAATACTAATTTATAAAGAAAATGCTTGTTTACAGCGACTAGGTTTTGTCTGGCGTAAATATATGCGCGTAAATATATGTTGTTACAGCGTCCTAAGTTTAGGGTAGAAACGGTACAATGGATAAGCCCTTGTATAAGTGTAGTGAAAGATAAGTACTTTTTTACTGATTTTACAAGCCAGAAATATATTAGTAATAATGTTTTGAAACTAGGATTTAGACCTACGAGTATTTTGTCAATAAGTCTTCGTAGGATTATATCACTTTTTATAGTAAATTCGGTAACCGTAATATTAATAATAATAGCCCCCCAAAATCCAACCTTGCGCTCGTATCGAACACCAGATCACGCGGGGGCGGACACGCGTACTAATGAAACTTACGCGGCTAACGAGGTAACCCATTTATCATGGAGAATCTTAATATTGGAATACGCATAGGGTCGCTGCCCGGGGGTGATCGCCGGGGCACGTCTGGAGCTGGTGCTGGACGTGCCAGCATACGGACCACTTTTCTCTTTGCTGAACAGGCGGGCGAGAGTCGGGGATCTCGAAAATGACTCAGCCGATCAACGGGGAGGGGAGGGCGTGGATGATGCTTTGCAGGGTAGGGTTTCGCCCATATACTCTGTCGGCTCATCTACAACGACCACAAATAATGCAATAAGCGACGATAGAAGAAGAAAGTGTTCAATAGAAGAATTAAAAGAATTAATGTTTTGTTATTTCAAAGCACGATCAGAAGCGCCAGGATACATAGGCCGACAGCAGGCTCTTTATACAGAGAGGAATCCTAATAACGATACACACACTAGTTAGGTTCCTCTCATACAATAAAACTACACATTAAAAATTAAATTACAATACATTTATTTATTTAACCATTCCTATCTAACTTTATCAATTTTGAAGTTATGGGGACATAGATATCCTTTTTCCTGTGGGTTTCGGGACGGGGTATTTATAAAACCGACAAAAAAGTCGAGATGTTGAAACCAACACATAATATATATCACACATCTCACACACGGCCTTCTGATCCCAAACTAGGCAGAGCCTGTACTATGGTAACCAGACTGCTGATAAACATACTTATATATTTTTAAATACATACATATTAAACATAAATTACACCCAGACACAGAACAAATGACCGTGCTTATCACACAATATTTGTCCTGGGTGGGAATCGAACCCGCGACCTCCGGTTTAGTAGTCAGAGTCACTAACCACTAGACCAACAGGCCCGTCAATATTTATGGGTCGTAATCGTAAAATGAAGATGTATGTTGTAGATTTAACTGGCAAATATTATTTTAGCATGTAGTTGTAAGCATTTATAACGTAGGTATTTATAATAAGTATTACATATTTTCTTCTGCTTGGAAACTCAGTTGATACCATAAAGATTGTTGCCGAAAATATTGCCAGAGACTCATAAAACAGCGCTCACTCAGTTTAGATGAGAGATCGATATCTTAACTGCCTAAAAATTTATGTTTAGATTTAAAAGAAGGATAGAAGGGACTATATAAAATGCGCGAATAAAACAGGTAAAGTTCGGTTTAGATTTAGTAGGATAGAAGAATTCCTGACTCATGAACTTTTAGCAAGACGATTTTCCCCACGTCTCTCGATGCCTATATTTGACTAAATTATTAATTAAACATGACTAAGTAAGTACATCGTAAACTTGACGGTTCGACGATAGCCGTTTCCGTTTTCATAACAATGTTTAACTTCAATCGATCATTGTGTTCATATGTCACTAACCGAGCTTGTTGAACTGTAAACAGAACATTTTGTTTCCTTTACTTGTGTCATATAAACCACCATTAAGTAACACTATCCAGTATAAATGGTTATTAGTACTTTGATCTACTATTATAATGTTTAATATTTATATAACCGAATTCTTTCTTTTTTTTTGGGCAAAATTCCATTGTGATGATAGCACGATCGTACCTTTATTGAACAGCTCCTATTGAATAAAGGTACGATCAAGGATCAAAGGTACGGTTGGCTCGCCCAGTTTATTTTTTGTTGATTTCCTTACTTGTCCGTTAATGTTGTATGTGCGAATAATTTACTTTTGGAAAATCGGCTTATATGCGCCTACATCATTATACACCTCCTAAGGGATGGTATTCTTTCTTGAAATGGAAAAGGGACTAAACAAGACGTATATCCTTCTAAATGAAAGAAATATTTTTTCAAATCGGTTCATAAATGACGTACTTCAGAGGTAAAAAAGTACAAACGAATTGAAAACCTCCTTTATTAGAATTTCGTTAAAAACTCAGTAATCTCGTATAAAACATATCAGCAAATGGTGATATTAGACACACGTGCAGTATATATGAGTAATATTTATTAACGTGACTGATAATTTCTGATAAATTCGCTAATATTGTGCTATATTAGTCGTACCTTTATTTAAGCGATGTACCCTATCGTCACGCTTGAATTAAACGGATATAATACGAGAATGAATTTACTTTTCTATTGCCTAGAGATTCTGACTGATCTCTGGCTCATCAAACCGTGATGGTTCTAGGACAAATACATTCGTAATGATACGATACACGATAATTTATTCCGGGTTTGGTTGTTATTTATCTCTCAAAAGTATGTATTGCCATAGACTGGCTCTACTTAGTTTGGGATCACACTGCCGTGTGTGTTTGTATTATTAATGTATTAATTAAATATCTTAAATAATTTATTACACACATCACATCACATCAACAGCCTTTAATAGTCCACTTCTGGACATAGGCCTCTCCTTACAAAGCAGGTTTTGGCTTACTATACCACGTTGGCCAGACGGGTTGGTTAATTTATTACACCCACATCTTCATAATAATTCCTTTTAAAATATTTGTAAATTCAATTTGTAAATGGAGGGCCCATTGCAAGTCCTCTCGCTGTATGCATAATGTGATTATGTTCTGATTGTATAATAGAAGGCGCAGTGTAGTGCTAAGTTGATTATATATCTATTATGTATGTATTATACCAAAGAATCTCAAACTTGTTTGTCTCGCAGACCATTAGCAATTTTTTTCTTCTTTGAATAAATAAAAAATACGACAAAACTATTTAATATAAATTAATTTAATAGCATTTCTTTATATTTCGTTGTCGGTGTGTTTAATACGTTTCATGTAAAAACTAAGCGATCTGATACGCATTCATGAAAAGTCAACATTATAGTCATGACCAGCTATATATTAGTTCAGCTACAGCTAAACTGTATGTATTTGTATTAATTGGTCGGTAGTGTTTAGAGGAGACCAGATTTATACTTTCATATTTTCAGTAAAAAAAAAAAACAGGGTGAATATGTTTGCTTTCATTGATGTGTCACGATAATACCGTTCACTGTTCTCAATGTTCTCAATTTCGTCTGAAAATATTATGTATGGCCTTTGCCTACCTAACTTTTAGGAATAATTTTTTTTTTCGGACCGATTTTTGCTGGTGATTTAACAACAAAATATGCAATGATTGCCTGACAAAATATTGACCAGAACAGAGAATACGAACATAGTTTTAGGCAGGTTTATTTTTGTAATCATCGGTATCATTGAAACTAAAAAGAAAGCAAAACTGAGTAATGTTTCGTTTACAAACTGCTGTTCGGCCTAAATATT